GGAAACCCCCATATAACCCTAATCTATATATACCCCATTATACTATAGTAGTTTCCATTTTCTTTTCCATTATCCCTATATTCCCTATTATAATCCCCCCTAATTCATATACGCTAACCCCACATAAATGCAGCACCTGCAGGGATAGTGTAGTGGCACTGCTAGGTAGAAGTCGAATTCTACCTCCTGGACCATCGGGTTACTATGGGTTAATATTGGGATAATGTTGGGATAATGGAGAAGAAAATGGAAACTACTATAATATTGTGGGATTATACCCTTGCAAACTCTAAACCCCAAAAGCATCTACCTACAGCCAGCGATTTGGAACTCGGGCTGCCACATGGCGGCAAAAGTAAGGTTAACATCTTCAAGTCCTTAGCACGACACAGCAGGGATGTATCCCGTTTTGAGCCTGCAGGGCAAGCAACCCATTCTTTTCTATGTTCTGTGAAAAGTTCTGTGACATAACCACATGGCTTCCTGAAGCTAGACGTTCCTCCTCATGCCGCCCCAAGGGCAATACCCCTTGTATCGAGCACGGTAAGAAGTGATTCCCAATCTAACACAGCTCGCAAAGCATGAGCCTTGTAGCCTCCCAAAGGTGTTGGCTCGTAGTTGTCCCGTATACACACCAGGAAAGTTGATGCCCCGCAGAGCGTCCCATAAATGTATGAGGCAGCTGGCAGCCAGCATCACTGACTTCTTCACAAAACGCGAGCGCGGAGGCGCTGTAGATGAGTATGTAAAAGCCTTGCATGACTTACCGCGTGACCGTGAGGCATCATAACGTCATTACTTAAATTCAAAAACTTTCAATTGTCTCTACTGAGGTTTAGGCTTCAGGATTTAAGCCTTGTGTGAGCCTCGTTCCATTCACACCGCGCTCTGCCGCTACCTGCAGAAGCAAGAGCTGTGTTGAAATCTGGACAGCTCCCAAATTTTTCCTCCTCCATCTTTATAGCACCATAGCACCAATCTGACAAAAGACCTGAAGCATTATTCTGACAGTTTTCGCCCTCCGACATCATATCCTATGCTGAGTAGGTTTGCCATCAATCATGGGAAGCTTGAACCTCCACAGTCCCGAAATATGGTAAAGTGAATTCCCAAAACCTGAACACCCAAAACTTGAACATGACCCTTGCACCCCAAACGCTGACGACCCTAACCTAACTCTTAAACTCTAAGTCAACGCAGCCCTGCGCTTTTGCATGGATTCCTGGATTGCAATGGACTGCCGATGGAACTCTGCACCTCTTCAAATTCTCAACTCTCCCCTCCAATCGTCAGATTTGGGGAAAATACTGCAACATGGGTAACTTGCATTTGGTGGCAGATTTCCTTTAACCGCAATAGAACCCAAGTCAGAAACGCTGGGATAGCGATAGCCTGGCATGAACCTGCTTGTACTAGTTCTACCCTCTCCATTGCTTCAGGGGTTAGAGTAAGGCCCGACCATTTCGGCTGACTATGTTTGCAGGGTCTTGTTGAGCTTGTTCTTGCTATCCTTTCTGGTGTTCTCACGATCATCATCTGAGGTCAGCATTCGCTAATGAATGCAAAACCTGAAGAAACGCAAGGGCGGGAAACGCAAGGGCGGGAAGACCTGTGCTCCGGGGATTCACTTGGAGGTCCATGGGTACCATTGTACTCTGCCAATTACACGGTTTTTAGTAGGATAGCAGGTGGTTTGCAACTACACGTACACTGTGGTCATACTTGCATGAACTTGAAAGCGTTTCATGTTATGAAGTCCCCATACAGCCCGACACTGATGGGTACTGTTTGGATAGCTGACATGGTTCTTCGTAGGAAATAAGGGAATATAATCCCTATACAGTCCCTATATAGAATACTCCCTTATTCCCTACTAAGGATCAGTAAAATAGTTGCAAGAAAGTGGGGATATAAGCATCTTGAGGACGGACCGCCCCGACTTTCAGGTCAGATGCTCATGGCTATGCCAAAGTTTGTCTCGCGCTGCACCCAGAGGATGAGTGGTTGGGTACAAACGGGGTTTCCCAAAATAGTGGTACCAATTTGGGGGCTCCTATAATAAGGACTATAGTATTTGGGGGTTTTATGTTGGGGTCCGAAAGCTACCAAACATGGCCTCAAGGGCCATGGGGGCCACGGGAAAGAGGGTTTTTCCTCCGAAAGGAAGAGGTCCAGTGCCTTGGTATACTTTTACTTGGGCTCATGTGATTCAGCAGGTGAACGTTGTCCCCTGGTTCGATTAGGGTTTAGGGTTTAGGTTCGATTGGGCTCCCAGATCCCGGCACCCTGCAATCGTCTCTACTCATGCTTGCGGCTTTCTCAAAAGGGGGCTTGACAAACGTATTGGTTGTTAGTAGGGACTGGAGGAATGGATCCATACAGTAGCCCTTCTACAACCCGCAGCGATAGGATTGTTTCCGTGTTCTTTTACATTCCTTCTTTCAGTCCTAGAAAAGAACACTGCAAAACTCTTTCAGTACAGCAGAATCTAAATTTACTGTTCAAAGGGGCAAGGAACCACAAGGCCTTGCTACAGGAAGATACCGCTGCAGACTTGGCCCAAACAAGTCCACGAAATCCTGGATTGGGAAAAACCTGAGTCATTTCAGGGTGATATTCTACAGTCTGTTATAGTTGCAGTTCTAAAGAACATTAGTGGTTCGTAATATACCTAGGGATCATGCCCCTCTGCAGATCATGGAAGGAGACGCCCCTGGCAAGGCATGCAGCCTTTTTGCAGAAGGAGTCTCAGGATGTGGTGGCATCCAGAATGTTTTTCCCAATGTACACCGTGCCTTCGGAAGATGTGCTGAAAATGAGCAGCCTTGAGCCACACGAAGAGTTGAAATCTAAGGGCATTCTAGTGGAGTTTGAGGCCAAGATGGGAAACGCAGCCTTTGTCTCACACCAATGGGCCAGAAAAGATCATCCAGATCCGAGTTTTGAGCAGTTCTCGGTTTTTCAAGATGCGCTGAGCCGAATTTTAACTGATATTTCGCACATCCCTCTTGACTTTCTGACCGAAACGATTGCACCCGGAGCAAGGAGCTTACCCACCAAAGACTTCCGATCCATGCCCATGTTCGTTTGGTACGACTACTTTTCCTGCCCTCAGCTGGAAGGTGCTGGAGAGGCTGGCAATCAGGCCAAGGCTATCGCAAGCATTCATGCCTATGTTGCCGCTTGCTCTTACTTTTTTGCACTTTGTCCCTTCATGCAAATCGATGGCTCGACGATGTCAATGTCAAGTTGGCACAGTCGAGGTTGGTGTCGCTTAGAGCAAACAATGAGGGAATTGTCTGGGGGCCCATGGATCTTGGTACGAGGTGGTTCGCAGCTGGAGCTCATTGCGCATACGAATGTTATCCTTGGCTCTGTAGGCGAGGGTGACTTTGCGGTGCCGGATGACAAGGCGAAGCTAGCTCCCTTGCTAGCAGCTGCGCTGAAGCGCAAGATGGTACAAGCCTTGACAGCAGCAGACTTCGTGGGATACCGGATACTGCGGAACCTGCAGAGTGTGCATTTGAGAGGTTTGGATGTTGAACCAACTCTAGACCTGATCCCTGGCTTTGTTCCCACTGCGGACGACTCCGCTTCCATTGTTGATGATTTTTTTCACCAAAACGGCTTTGCGAGGATTAATGAAGTAGACAACGCTGGCTTTACACCCCTGCACTACGCCGCACTGGATGGCGAACCCCAGCTCATCAAGGCCCTCATAGAACAGCGTGCAGATGTGTCGAAGTCCACCCGCAACCTACTCATGCTAAGTCAAGTTGGAAATGGGGGAATGGATCCCAATTGGCTCTTAGGTAATCTCCACTGGGACACTTCGACCAATCCCTAAACCCCCACCCCGGGTTCCCCAGCTAAGCATGAGTAAGGCAAAGGGCAGCCGCTTCTTAGACTTCCACCTTGGATGTCTGCACTTGCATTATGTCTCCGGGCTGTTCGGAACGTTCCATTACTTTCCCTGTTGATTTGACAGGGGTCGCAGGTGTTGACGTTGGTAATGCTTTTCTGGACGGTTCTATCTTGCTGGCACTTAGCCGGGAGTGGGAAAGTGACATAGTTTTGCGGTGCTTGATCTCACGGGGTATGCAAGGATGAATTTCAGGGACTCACCCACCACTCTTTTCATTGGAGCACCCCCCACCCTAAACCATGAAGTTTAAACTGCCCTGAACAGTAAATCCTGAGCTCCAAACGCTACACCACAAAGGTTTGATGTATCGGCACAACAAAGCTGCGGAGCAACTCATTGCAGCCAAGGTGGGGGGCTTTTCCTGAAGATGCAATGGCTTCATGTGACTCCAAAACGGAATTCCTCTAGGTCATCCCCCAAATTTCAGAGATCCCAAAAGAGCCGCAGTGTAATCCCCCTAAGCTATTCCCCCAAATTGTTTCAGACAACCGGACAAGACCCATAGTTTTGAGAAGAAGGCAAGTGTTCACGGAGGAGGAGGTATCGGCACAGCATTGGGTTCTGCTGCCTATGGCAACAATCCTACTAGAAGAGCTGTTGAGCCACACCGGCCCCACCGATCTGTCTGGTCTCTTGCATGCAGCTGCCCTTTCCGCAGAAGGAGGAGCCCAGGCAGGAATTCCCAAAACCCCCTGGAAATCCTTGAGATGCAATGACCTCAGAGTGAAGCCCACAAAGCTCCCCTAACATACTACCCAGATCCCCTTCCACAACATAACCCGACCTCATACATATCTCTCTGGTCCCTTTGAGAACTCCATTTCTTAGAGACGCCGAGGTGACTCGGAGGTTGCTCATTGCCAGGGCCGACGTGGACGAGCAGTGGAAGTGGGCAACTGGAGTTGACAGGGATTAGGGTTCAGGGCTTAGGGGTGGATTTGTGAATTTTCTTTTTTCTTGTATGCCCAAGTTCGAACCCCTGTAGCCAGATTTGCTCATATAAAGTTGTTTCTGGCATGGCTTTCAAATGGCTAGGCACCTGTGCTTATGAGAGCCCTATCTGCTGCACAAGTTCTTCAGTATAGGCTTGGAAAGGTAACCCCTGCCACGACGGTCGCGTATCATCTGCTTGGTGCTACACCACTCATGCTTGCCATTCTTCGTGCAAACTACGAAACTGCATCTGCGTTGCACTAAGGAATTTAGATTGAGTTGCCCCGATAAGGAAGCTCCATTATTGGTGGTTTATATCCGCATGGTAGCTTTTTGTTAAGTTCCTTTGCAGCAACCCAGGCGTGGATCCTGATAACCGCAGGTGCTCGCTTGGACTTGCGCAATGTGCGGAAATGTGCAGTTTCCGACCTGGCACGGAATCAGGGGGTGCCGGAAAATATCCAGGAGGTCCTGGACGGCAATGCCGTGTATGGTAAAGTGTGAGGCAGGGACATTGGCCTGGGCCTTGTGATGATGTGTGAGATTCGATTTCATTGAATATCTATCCTGCTGCGTTTCCAGTTGCGCTACTCCTCTGCGGTCGGTTGCCTTAGTGGCAGCACTAGCCGGCGATGGTCTGCGGACATCCGTCACAATGTGGTTTCGTCTCACTTTGCAAATCGGTCAGCTGTCTGCGCGGCCATACTAAGCAAGCATACACCAGAAGAGGTGTTGGTTTCGTTGGTTTCGTTTCACCTGGACATTTCCATCTGCCTATACCCTATAGAATCCCTATAAACCCTAATAGTGTCCATTTTATTTTCCATTATCCATATATTATCCCCAATATAACCCCTATATATGCCCAATTATACTATAGTAGTTTCCATTTTCTTTTCCATTATCCCCAATACAACCCCTATATAACCCCCATAAAAACCCAAAACAATCAACCTACAAAGCCATGGCAAAGGCCAACACTTGAGAGCCACAGTGGAAGACCAAGTGCCTACAGTTATTTGGGGGTTTCCCAAAATTCGGGTACCGTTTTGGGGGTCCCAATATTAAGGATTTTTACTATTTTTGGATCTATATTGGGGTCCCCTTATTTTGGGAAACTACCATTTCACTGCAAAAGTGCGAGGGCCTGCAACGGAATCCTGCTTAGAAGGCAACTTTGCACCACCTTACATTGCGGAATCCGTGGCTTTCGGGAGGTCTTCAGTATTGCAAGCTCTCCTCCATGCATAGCAGAGCTCATATCACCGCGTAGCATGATGCATGATCCCAGCCAATCAATCACGACATGCAACCTTGCCATTGTGCAGCCCCTTGCAATCCTTGCATGACCTCATAGCACCTACTTGGCAGCGGCCTACCATACATGTAGCCGCGCGGCCCCTAAAGCCTAAACCATACGCTGTAAATCCAAGTTTCAAGTCTCCCTTTCGCCAGGGCCGATCCGATGATCAAGCCTCTTCCGTTCATCGGCCCTAGTGTGCAGGTGTGTGGGGTTGTAGGATCTAGGGGCTTTAGGGTCTAGGACTGTCTGTAAGAGTGTGTTTGGGTTTATAAGGTTTAGGGTTGCCCGCCAGGGTTTTGGGTTGAACTTTTCGGATTTTGGAGTTTGGGGCTTTTTTTACAATACAAGCCCGCGAGGTCTCGTAAGGTAGCTCTGGGCGGTGTTCTTTGGGGGTTTGGGTGTAGTTTAGAGGTCATGCTGCCCGCAGGTTGATAGGCACTGGGGGTCGTCTGACGTGAAACCGACATGTCAAAGCATGTAGATTTACACGTAAGGATTCAAAGTGTCCCCAGCACGGCTCACTCAGGCGCTCACATGCGATCTTTTTGAAAGCAATGTTACCACACACATTTCAACCAAGAAAACTGCAAAAGAATAGGTGGAGAAGCCTCACGCAAGGGGCCGAGCCCTGCTAGACTGTGCAGAGTTGTGTGGTTCTGTTTTGTGCACTTCCTCAAATCTAGCTAGAGCATTGTGGCCGTGCAAAAGCGCCGGATACACCTTGAGGGGCAATCATGTTTTGAGCGCTTTATCCGTAGTTCCCATTTTCTTTTCCATTCCTTCATCTGCTGATTTCACTCCAGACCCTAAGGCCTTTAACCCTTATTGCTAATTATTACAATGAATATCATTACTATTAGTATTACTACAGTTACCATAATCAATGTTATTACTACTATTACTGTTATTAAACAGCCTCGAGGTTTCCGTTTTCTTTTCCATGCCTTCATTCCCTACTAACATCCAGCAAGCAAACCAATCGGTGGTGGCATTTGCAGCCGTGATCTCCTGGTAAAAGCCGAGTCTGTGGACCAGAAACCAAGATTTTCTGCAAGCCAGCCAACCTAGACACTGTTGAACCCACACGGTTTAGGGTTTTTGGTTGAATAGTATAGTAGTTTCCATGTTCTTTTCCATTATCCCCATATAACCCTATATGGGCATCGCCTGAAAACCCCATGAAGGCATTTTTATATAAAACAACCACGGATGGCTTAAAAGACCTTCCGCGAAAGGTGGCGATGGTGCGCGCGAAAGGAACTTTGG